AGTTCCCTGGAACACCGGGGACACATATTCATGTATAAAAGACGTACAAAAGTGCATTTTGCATGATAGGTCACCTTTAAATAGCTGTGCAATTTATTCTACCACCTTTTATACTTCCCCCTGGCTGCTATATTACTAAACGGTTATTGCTACTGGAAGTGTATCTTGTAAATTGTGTAATTTCAAGTGTTTTATCTTTAATATTTGTTATGCTTCTTCAGATATATTAAGCTGTCTTTGGCTCGTTGCTGTAACAATCGTAAATGTCCCCTCCGTGGGCGAATAAAGGTATTCTGATTCTGATTCAGTTCACTTTCCTCAAGTGTACAACTTTGATTCTATATCTTTGGAAACTAAAGAGTTTCCACCTTAGTACTCCCTGTGCCGTTTTCACACAGCAGTATCCACAGATCCACGTAACACTGTGGGCAACTTTTTACTTTCTGTGAGCTTGGGTTTCTCAACATAGAGCTCTTCTTTGCTGAGTCATGAGGCTCGTCTGAATATTGTGCACAGCTGTATCCCCTCTCATCGGGCTTAACTGAATAACCCCTTAGAACCGGCCCATTTGTTGTTAAATATTTATTTCAATGAATGAATCTTTCTCTTGTTAGTCAAGGAAATCAATGTATGATGGTTGGTCCTGCTTTTGTGTTCCGTTTTGGTGTGAAATGTAGCCTACATTTAAATAAAAATATAATTAATGTAATGTGAAAGCCTTACTCTGAAAATGTGTGTCCTGTAGATCACCTGTAGATTCACCACAAACCCACATTCAGGACTGTGAATTTTAAATAATTTAACTCCTGAATATCTTAACACAAAACAATACAAATAATTGTTATTTATCAATATCTAGCCATTTATGACATGACTTAAATTGTTAGTATAACCTTAAGAAATGAATTGCACATAATAATTCCCACAGAGCTGTGAGCACTTATACATTTATGTGACGCTTTTCCACTCATCTTCCAGTTGTCGGTATTCCTCTGTTGAAATCGACCAGCTGTGAAGGTGGGGGCGGGGCCTTTATACGCGAGTAGTGAAAACACTTCTGCGTAGTCTGCTCGCGCGTAACCTCCCTTTCGTCTCCTCCCTCACCCCTCCTCCCTCACCCCTCCTCCCTCACCCCTCCTCGACTCCTCCGTGAGCATTTCAGCTATTGGGACGTCCTTCAAAACGGCGTGTCTTGATCGATTTCTGGGTCAAGTCCCAGAGGAGGGGAAGAGAGGAGGCTATGTTGACTCCGACTGGTCAGGCTAACTGCCGAATTCTTCTTCTGTTGTTTGTCTCTCTGTGAAGGAATGGAAATATATCTCTTTCTTTGTATCAGATATTTGTTTCCCTATAAAGACCTATCCAGCAGTAGCAACATGATGATCCCATGTATCCATTATATAGCTTTTTATCTTGAGCTATGACATCAGAGGCGGGGCAAACCCCGGACCAGTCACCTGTCAATCCAGAGCTTAAAGCCTTCACACCGTCCAGGAACTAGTTTTGACAGAGTGGACTCTTTTGTTGCCTTTCACTCCTGCGTCTTCGCCAAAAGGTTGTGCCTGAACACATCACAAAGATTACAACTCAGGTCTAGAAAAAAAGGAGTTTCTATATCTGTGTGAGAGCAATCAGCTCTCGGTGACAACATGCAACAGTATGCATTATCCAAAAATGCTAAATGGAAGGACGACCTTAGATATACAAGCTGCGGTTATGATATACTGAATAAAACATTATCACACCACTTTCTCTTACCCTCTTGCACTCTTGACTTCGGCAGTTTGTCCGGTGGAGGAAGAAAACCCACGCTGATACAGGGATTGAATGCACCATAGGGCCAGACAACTTTTTATTCATTATTGTTTTATTTTGCAGCAAGTAAAATATATACAGCTCTGCTCCTCTCAACCTGAGTGTCCAAGACATTCAGCGACCAACCTGATGATACGACAAAGACGTTGATCATCCATCTTTGGCCTAGTTTTTGGCCTTTGTTTTGGCGCTCAGTAGACATATGAACCGCCACATGACTGATAATGGTATTTGCTATAACCAATCTATGACTAGCACAGAGGTCCAATCCCCACTCAGGTTCAGATCAGGCATGCTGATCCTCCCAAAACCCAACCCTTCAGGATTCTCCTTCATGGCTCCATTGTTGCTCTTTCCTCTCCCAGAGAATCCAAAAGGCTGGGTATTCTGAGCTGCTCATGCATAAGCACAAACAATCATCAGAAACCTGCTTCAAACTACTCACAGTCACATAGAGACGGCCCTCGGTCATCCCGGGTGAAATCCAACACAGTGTCACACAGCTAGAGTCTTGTAAGTCTTCCCACAACTGTCCGCCCCTCTCACCCTGGCACCTCTGTAAAGGCAAGAGTCCAGCCCCTCTCGATGAGTTGGGTTCCAAAACTTGTTCTATGCAAAAAGGTAAGCCGAGCTATGTCCGTTTCAAAGCACTGTACGTCCAGCCCCAGTGTCAGTCTTTGAAAAACTCCTGAACCTGACCTACACTTTCTTCACAAAGGAGACAAGTTTAGAGAATTTGTGAAAGACTTCATAGCTGACATCCACTTAGGTAGATAATCAAAATGCTCAATGAACTATGGATCCATCCTGAGATGAGGGAGGCTCTTGACATTGTTGGAGGACATGCCCTCTCAAAGTCCCTTGGAGGAAGAGGATAGTGGCTGTCGAGTGGCCGACCGTGTTGGTGGTTTCCAAGGACTTTACAATCCTTGATACAGGAGGAACTTTGCAGATTCTCTTCTTGCCGTATACTCTGTACAAAGTCTAAAATGTTTCCATTGCAGTTGTCCTTTGTAAGTGATCCTACCTGAAGCTCCATTCTGCATAAGAGATTTGCTCTTTGCTCACGGCGATACAGGGGGCAGAGCTTTAAAATGAAGACAGAAGGGTGACTAGCTCAGATACCCAGAGGGAGTTTGAGACACCATATCAGCTGTCCCCGGGGGAGACCCAGGAAATGTTGGAGAGATTATTTATCTCATCTTGGCAGGAAAATGTTTGCTGGCCGGAGGGAGGTCTGAAAAACCATGATTAGCTTGCGGTTTTCCCGAACGCAGATAAGCAGATGACAATAGAAGAATGGATTCATGTTTTGGATATGAAATAACAGAGAGGGGAAAGATCTTACCACTATGAGGTTCCACATGCGGGCAGCTTCAGCCACCAGCGTGGACACAGAGCTGCAGCCTGGCATCAGCACGATTTTAATGGGCTCCGTGTACAGAAGGTCATAGAGCAGCTTGGTGGCCTCACCTGGATCACACTGTGGAGACACACAGAACACAGGACATCAGTACAAGAAACACACTACACCCAACATACCAAACAAATAGCCTTATAGAGTCTAATAATGTATGTATGTTAATCTAATACATTTAATTTGGATAAGCATGGTAATCAGGCTGACTTGCAGCTCTACCTCATGGATTGACATTGAGTTCTAAAGACTTTCTTATTTGATAAAGCTTAGAGTTAGGGCTGGCTCAGGCTTGCTTTGAAACAGCGCCCAGTTGTGATGCTCTTCCGGCCGCACCTGGAAGGATGTCCACTTGAATCCAACTTCTTCTTTTTTTTATATATATATAGTCTATATTATCTTTTTAATCTATAAACACCACATCTATTGCATGTCTATGCATCTGGGAGAGGAACTCCTCTCTCGCTCTGCACAAGGATTCTTCAATTTTTCCACATTAATTGCGCGGTTTCTTGGGAATTTTGCTTGTAAACTGACTGACTGACTGTTAAAGAGTTTCTGAACGCTCTGTAAAGGCACCAGCGACAAATGTATCATTTTAGATATTTTAGTCATATTGGGCTATATATAATATAACATTTCATTCATTCATTTAAACACATTTGTGTTAAAGGGCTTTTCTTATTGGCTTACTGGAAGATGTTTTATTTGCAGCACTTCTTCTTGCTCCCCTGTGAAATGATTTGTTTTACTTTGCTGTCAATGTAATTATGATTAAAACTGCAGTTCATTTAAAAGGCACTCAGGTGCATTCAAACCGTGACTGTACCTTCTCTTTGTGCTTTTTGAGAGGGAACCAGCTGTGTTCAAGAGCAAAAAGTATTTGCAGTATTTAAAAAATGAATGAGTTAAGTTTGCCCCTTGCCGAACCCAATAACTGGTCGCCCATTTCTCAAATGGTTGTCAAGCACAACCATTGCTATCAAGCTCTGTGTCATTTCACAAAAGCTGTTTGAATCAATATTAGACATTTCTATCACATTTAAGTCATCATGCATATGTGTCATGATGTTCAAAACATGGGGTTGAGCAATTAGAACCCTGTTCTCACATAACTGATCAATCATGGATTTGCATAATCATTGTTTTCTTATTCAGGGTATTCTTCTCATCAAAAGTGTTTTCTAGTTTCTGCTGTGCTTGGAAACTGGTCTGTGTGCAGGAATATGACACAATGATAAATGTCAATGACCTGATGACGAAAGACCCTAATCAATTCCCAAAAGTTATCCAAACATGAGCGTTAAATGAAAAATGGCTACCACACCTCCACCATTATCATTTAAATAGCCTATTGATTTCCATTGACTATGGGATGTAAATGGAAAGATACAGATAATGGGGTTGACTTGTGGGTAAATGTTTTCCTTTAGCTCCACACAGAGATACAGTATGTTTTCTCCGGAGATGGGGGTGACCTTGGAATGTGCCTCGCATTGCCCCTCCCCCCCCCTTGCTGCTGGCTATGCCTCAGCTCTCTGTTATGTTATGTTATGTTGCATGTGCACTGAGGAACATTGGCTTTCACAAAACCTTCTGTTTTTAGCTGTGTGCTATATCGTCTTCCATCCTGTGTTCAGTTCCCTCCACATTCATTTCATCCATGTCTTAAACTGAACAGTATACATACCTGGCATACGTACAGTACACCTTCAAATATTTCAACACATTTCTCAGTCTATTGCTCCTATTGTGTCAAACCCCAGCAGACAGTCCAATATATTCTAAACCGCCAAGAGTTTCTGCAGGTCCTTTGAAATAGATAGAGAAATAGATATAGATATTCTAAATGTTACAGAATTTTGACATTTCTGAATTTCCTGAACGTGAGAGCCGTTCTTTTTATCGTTCAATCGTTGGTCTGCACTCACTGCCTGCCAAAATCCACTCGCCTTATGAAAAGCTTGATTTTGTTCCCCAAACGTATTCTGTGAAAACCCGTCCCTACTCTGGTAGGTTTCAGCAGGAGGAGTAAGATGGGGTTGGTCTTAACGGAATACGCATGAGAGAGAAGTCATAACAAGTGGTACAGGACAGGTAGACGACGTGTTTTTCGGATGGAAAATGAGCCAAACACGAAAACGCATCAGCATTTGGATGCACTTCAACCAAAACCCAGGCAGTGATAAAGCGCACCATTTGTTCAGGCAACATATCCTTTAAAGCAGGGTCAACAAATAATCTCCATCGCCACTTAAAAACACAGCATCTAATATTAAGAGTTGCGTGAATTTCATTCAAGGCAAGGCAACTTTAAGGCAACTTAATTTATTTAACACATACAGAGGGGAAATTCAATTAAATTCATTCACTGACATGAATGAGATGGATATGGCCCCACCTTGAGTCATGTTCACAATGCAGATTATTGACATTAGGTCTGGCAATACAGTCAATCATTATCCTGGTGATTATTTCGCAGATAAACCTAGTAACCCCGCCCCCTTTAAAGAAACGGCTCTTTTGAACGACTCTTTTGAACGGCTCTTTGAAAGGAACGGAGCCATAAGATCCGGCTCCTTTCAAAGAGCCATAAATCCCGTCACTAGTATGTGTATTCACTCTCTGTCCTAAACGGCGTTCTTTTTGAACGAATCTTTGAAGTGAACGAGATGAACTGATTCCTCCCCCAAAACGATTTGTTTGTTTGAGTCGCCGCCTTCCGCCAAAAGCTAAAGAGAAGCAGTTCAGGAACGACGAACTTAAAGAACTGTAGGAAACAGTTCAGAACTGTTTCCTACAGTTATTTTATCTTATCCCTTTCTTTCAAGAGGAGGGTCCCGTTAGGGCCCCTCCAAAATACTGGATGTTCCATCTACACAGAGTTGGACTTTATTGTTGGACTCAGTACTAGTTGGACTTCTACCACAAGTAGGCTTGAAGTTATTTTACTGTGTACTTTTTCAGTTATTCTCTGTCAAACTCCTGTGGCAGAAAATCATTTTATCTCTCATAAAATATGGAAGAAAACATGCAGTTTGACAGAGGATTAAAACTGTAATCAGAGCCCTCTCATCTGAGCTCTGTTACACACACACACACACACACACACACACACACACACACACACACACACACACACACACACACACACACACACACACACACACACACACACAT